TGGAGAAATGAAAGGGTGAGGTGGAACGGGGAATGGTTTAAAGAACCTGTTCCCCTCCAGCTGTGACTCTAGGGAAGAGAGGCCCTGCCAGCAGCTCTGGAAAGGCTGGATGACTCTGTATAGTCATGTAATGGGAATGACAAGCTCAAAAGACAGGGAAGGGGATGCTAGGCTGAGCACAGGCCAATGCCAGTTAAAATAAAAGCCAGAAGATCTGAAGAGAGCTCAAGGAGCCTGGACTCATTAGGTCAGGCTTGAGGTTTGAGCTGTGTTTGCTCAAACCACCTTGAGTTTGCTTTCACCTATCAATAGTACAAGACGTGGTGTCATGTGCCTGTGGTACACATGGCCCCAAAGAGGTCAGTGAAACCCTTGAGGGAGAAAAGAGGAGGCAGCAAGGGTAAGGGCATCCAGGTAAACAGGCATATGCCCAATTCAATAAGCAGTACCTAAGATTGCTAGAATGATGGAAGCGTAGTTATACTCCCTTACGCAACGGGGGTTTTCTTCAGTATTACTCATCTTTCATTACTGTTATATTTAAATCTCAGTTAAGGTCACAAAAGCACCTTGGGAACAGGCATGAATGTTACAAGAAGTGTCCCGACTCTTGATATGGTGCCATGACTGTAACAATATTATGACTCTTTAGCAGCACTCTTCATCAGTGGATCTCAAGGCACTTCACAGAAGAGATTGGTACCATTAGCCTTAATATAGAGATGGGGAAATAGAGATGCAGAGGGTGAAATGCATTCTTCAGGGTTACTCAAAGCCTTGGAAAGGACCCATCTTTCTTAAGATCCAGTCCAGAGCTCAAGCCACTTAGACATATTTCTCCCCACCAATGATTTGCTCATAAAATCCAATTGACCAAAAAAATTATGGGAGACCGAGACTGCTACATACTATAGATGTGACAAGCTGATACGCTGCATCGGCACCTTCTGGATTTGAGTTAACTAACAGGACAGCCAAACGCCTCTCCTACTGTCCACCTTTTCCCTCCATCCTCCGAAGAGCTCAGCACCAAGAGCAAGGCCACGCTGGTGTGTCTGATGGACAGCTTTTATCCCGGCTCGGTCCAGGTCACCTGGAAAGCTGATAGCACCACCATCTCCAGTGGAGTGGAGACCACCAAGGCGTCCAAACAGAGCAACAACCAGTACATGGCCAGCAGCTACCTGACGCTGAGCGCCTCCGACTGGGAGAGCCACAAGATCTACACCTGTCAGGTGACGCACGATGGGAAGAGCATCAACAAGACCCTGAACAGATCAGAGTGCTCTTAATCTCAACCACAGCAAGAGGAAAGGATTCTCCAAAGGAGTCAGGATTATTAATTTTTTTCCCCTAGAAATTCTTCACCCTATTTTCTTTGGGTGATTTTTGCAGATACCTTTTGATATCTATGCCCTGTGTCCCCACTGGCCCCACCTCTCTGAATTCCCTGCAAATGTGCTTCCTTCCTTAGTATCTAATGCAACTTCAGTCTAAATCCAGCTACCTTTACCTCTTGCCACATTGATGAACAGCTACAGCTCTGTGCCTCTAACCCATAGTGTACTAACTTCAATATTCACGTTATCTCATAAAATAAACTTACCTTTTATCAACAACTATGCTTTTGTTGGGGCATCTCTCTTGCTGGTGGTTTTTATATTCCAATGAAGATATGTGGTTCTGTGTTAAGTTTAATACTGGGGGCAGGAGTTGTAATTTTAGTTCAA